GTACTAACTTAAGCATCGGAGTATTCCCACCGGGCAAACCCCCGGAAATCCTTCCTTTCATCTTCTCAGGTGCCGCTCGTTGCCAGCAAGGAGCCTGTCAGCCGCCAGCTAGGAGTGCCCGGATCGCGCCACATCATTTGGCGTCGTCTATGGGAATCGCTTCAAAAAGCCTTTCCCTCCAAACTCTATCAATTCCTTCTTCTTCCTTGAAACAATCCAACGCAAATGGCTTCTTCTAGCAACGTCGGACGAAGCGCGGAAATGGATAACTCCAGGGAACAGCCCCAGTCTCCTACTATCTGTATCGGACAGTTCACCGTCCCCCTCTCAGCGGACGGAATCCCCAGCTTGAACGTGCCTCTCACAATGGCACCTGTCGTCGCCCCACTCCCTGCTACAGTCGGAACGATGTTCACTAAACCCTCGGTCGTGCCCCCAGCGGCCAGCCCGAACCAGCTGGAGGATCTGATGCAGTGCATGAAGGCCATGTAGGCCCAAATGCAACAGTTCCAACAACTTCAGCTCTANTTCTTTCGACAGTCTGTACCCACGTCTCTCGACAGATGGAGGCGTGCCTGCCCCTTTGGGACGTGTCACTCAACCAAGCGGATAGTACACTGTAACGATCACCTGCGCAGACCTGGCAGGTAACGGCTGTGGCAGGAGCCCAGTGGCGGTTATGCCTGATCTCGCAAGAACGCTCCTATAAAAGCCCCCAGGGCAGAGGAGAAACTCTCTCTTGAGACCTCCAACCTCTCAAGTATAGTGATAAGCGCGACCTCCACTCTTAGCTTTCATTTGCCCTCTTTACTTCCATACACAGTACTAACTTAAGCATCAGAGTATTCCCATCGGGCAAACCCCCGGGAATCCTTCCTTTCATCTTCTCAGGTGCCGCTCGTTGCCAGCAAGGAGCCTGTCAACCGCCAGCTAGGAGTGCCCGGATCGCGCCACATCAGCAAACATTAATGAACAGCACTCCATATTAACTCATAAAACCTTTTTTTAATTACCATAGTTCTCAGAAATAAAAGACAAATTTAAGAATGTTTTTTGAACAGTATACTAGGTCTATGTGCATGTTAATTGCTGTTAGAAATTCAACATATAATCTCAAAGAAAACTTAGGAATATTTAATAACCATCAGGATGTTTTTATTGGTAGCCTGAAAAGGGTAACTGCTATAGAACCAAGTCTCATAGCAGGGAACATGCAAAAGCATAAATAAAGTAAATATGATAGATAAAAAGAGAGAGAATGAGAGACAGAGAAAGAAGAGAGAATATCTGAGAAAATTATTTAGAAGTCAAAAATGTTGGTTAACAAGGTTAAACACTACCTGTAAGGTGAAAGCAAGATAACCACCATGGAAATCAGGATGCACTGTTTGGTCACTGGCACTGGAATGAAAAGCAAATATTAACAGGAATAGAAAAATATAAATGTGAACACAGTTAATTTGAATTTTGAACTAGGTCTCAGGATGTGCCTAAATCAAGTATTCTCGGTGAGTGTTTAGGTTAACATTTAACATGCAGAAACCAAGAAATTCCCACACAAGGCTCAACCCTTCTTTGGAGAGGGAGGAATCATTATTTTCACAAAATTCTAAAATCTAAATCACAAAATGATTTGAGGTTGAGAGAAGAGTGAGAGTTAATGCATGGGGAATTTTGTCAAGCCAAAGAGTTGTAGTTATTAAAGACAGTGTCAATTTCTACCTCTTACCAAGCATACATTTCAACTCCAAGATTTACACATAATATTAATTCAGAATATAGAACAAGTCATCCTTCAGTCCCATGCTGGAGAATATTAGTATTAAACATACGAGAAAAGATGCTAAAAGGAAAAAACAGATTACTGACCTGAAATCTCTTATATGCAACTCATAAATACTGATGTCAGAGAAAGAAGAAAGCTTGGGTTTCTCATCTGCCAAAGCATCCCATCCATCTGGTTTTAATGCATCACAATCAAGATTGACCAACAATGTCCGTTTGCCATCTGATGAGAGCCTGTGCAACAAGATGAAACTATGAAAACGTACGCACAAAAATGCATACTACATATGGAGGCACTACCTATCCAAACAAAATGAAAGGTGAACATAATATGTAAATCTGCATATGCAAGCAGAGTTTTCATACACACCTAGAGCCTTACTAAAAGATTACATTAGCCACTTTAGTGTTATAAACTGACAAGCCAGCATACCCTCTAGCATATGGATCGTTCGCCATGCATGTTTCAATTCGCAAGGTACTAGGATGGTAGACAGAGACCTCATACACATAATAACAGCCTTCCCAATTTCTTGGTCCATGAGCACTCCAAACACCATCAACCTCCTCAAGCTGGACACTCTCTAAGGGAACACCGCCTGATGAATCACCATAGATAATAGCCGATACTGCCTGCTTGCAGAAATAAAAGAGGCACAGAACTTTAAGTTACCAGCCTAGTGGGAGGGGAGGGAGGGATATTGAGAGAGAGAGAGATCATTTTAAGGTCACAGGAAATATGTCATACTTGAGCAGTAGGTGCCCAAAGGTAAAGTGATACAGCTTCTTTTGTAAACACAGCACCAAGTGGGCCACCATATGCAAATAAGTCATCTATAACACCAGGTAACTGTAAACCAGTGGCATTACTGCATTGCCCATCAGCTACATAGGAGAAAAGATAGACAAGTCAAATTTGCATCAATTCTAAATCAAGGATAATGAAAAAGAAACACTTGTAGTCTTCACTAAGGAAGAAAAAGCCAAAATGAATAAAATTATTAATGTGTACGAGGAAAGCATGAACATAATGCAAGAAATCCACATAAAATAGCCCTTTGCATGTGCATCAGAAGTCACCATAATTGATGGTAGAATTGACTGGATACAAAAGAAAGAAAAAGATTTACCACTCAATTAGCTCTGATACAATGATAGAGACGAAACTTTAAGTTTGGGAAGTCTGTCTCCGGAAAGCAACAATGATTTACTTGAAATAGAAAGTTTGCATACARAGCTGTWRTTTTTAGAGGAAGAGATTGAAGAGGCAGGTGGCAGGAAGACTAGAAATGGCGAAGAAAATGGTCCTAAAGCTGTGAAAACTCCTCTTCCCTTCNCAGCACCGAGAGTTGTAAAAACCTCCGCGACGAGATAGAAGAGCTCATCCGTCGCGGATATTTGAGAAACTTTGTACAAAATAATAATAATAATAGCAATAGTAATAGAACAGGTCGGCAAGGGGAGCACAACAAAGATGCTCCCGAGTCCAGCAGCAGGCTGGCCGAACAACCGCAGAGGCAGCCTCCAGAGGAGAGGCCAGTTCCCAGAACCATCCACATGATAGTGGGAGGTTCCATCGTTGCAGGGTGCACCTCAGCGGCAGCTCGGACGTCGGTTCGCGAGGTCGCCCGGGAGGAGCAGAACCCCCCAAAGCGGCCAAGAACAGAAGAGCCAATTTTCTTCACAGAAGACGATGCGCGAGGGGTCCATTACCCCCACGACGACGCGCTCATAATAAAGCTGAGAATCAACGACTTCGAGGTTAGGCGCATACACGTCGACTCGGGCAGCTCGGCCGACATACTCTTCAAAGCCGCGTTTGACCAGCTCCAGTTGCAGAAAAGTGACCTGAAGCCCGCAGACACTCCTTTGGTAGGCTTCAGCGGAGAGGAGGTCCGGCCCCTTGGGAAAATAACAGTACCTGTAGAGATCGGCACATGGCCTTGTGTGGTCAGATTCGAACACAACTTCCTGGTAGTAGCGACMCCCTCTCCCTACAATGCCATAATAGGTCGACCGATCACCCATGTCCTACGGGCAGTGGTCTCCACTTACCACTTGGCTATGAAGTTCCCAACAGA